CGGTTTCCCCAGTCCAAAGATATGCGGTACAGTTGAATTGGGTAGGCTAAATTGTCCATAGTGTATAAGTGTGTGTGTGTGTGTGTGTGTGTGTGTATGTGTGGATATTTCCCAGAGATGGGTTGCGGCTGGAAGGGCATCCGCTGCGTAAAAACTTGCTGGATAAGTTGGCGGTTCATTCCGCTGTGGCGACCCCAGATTAATAAAGGGACTAAGCCGACAAGAAAATGAATAAATTAATGAACTTTAATCTTTACTATTGGAATGTGAAGAGACTTTCAACCAACACAACAACAAATGTGTCTGGAGACAATCACCTTTCGCACCTTTAAGCTTATTAGTTACCATAAATTTAATAACTTTAGCTCATTAACTAGTAACAAATAGCTTATATCAGTTAAAGTTATTTTATAAACAGTTAACCTGCAGTTATGTAGCATATAGGTAATATATGCTAATAGGTATCATATTCCCAGTACCTTCTAGTGCGATTCTCTGCTGAGAAAAGTTGTTTGTGATGAGTATTGGTTCATTATGACCTTCTTATCCACACCTGCTTGTTTGTGTAACAGCTATGCTGTGTAGAAGTTAATACTTCAAAACATTGGTGTATGACTGTAAATTAGTTAAATATAGTAATTTATTATAAAATTTTAAAATTTCTTTTACATTCCTACCGTATTTTTAACAGTAAATATCAAGCAAGCTCAGTGGTTAGCGTTATCACCTCACAGCAAGAAGGTCATTGGTTCGAGTCCCAGCTGGGTCAGTTGGCATTTCTATGTGGATTGTTGGTTTCCTCTGGGTGCTCTTATTTCCCCCACAAGTCTAAAAACATGCGCTGTGGGTGAGTTGAATACATTATAGTGCCCCTATAGTGTATGATTGTATGTGTATGTGTGCATCTGAGACTCGTATGGGTGTTTCCCATTACTGGGTAGCGGCTATAGGGCATCCGCTGCTTAAAACATATTTTGGAATATAGTTGGCTGTTTATCCCACTGTGGCGACTTCTGAAATAGAGACTAAGACGAAAGATCAAAATAAATGAATGAAAATTCCAGCAACCACAATTGATATTTTTTTTTACTGTAGATTTTACTTTTTTTTTTTTTTTTTGTGATCAACGTTTTATCTACTTTAGATTAACAAAATAAAAGACATTCAAACAAACAAACTAACTAACTAACTAACAGGGGAGGGGGAGCAACATACATATCAACAATTTTTAATCTGAAAGAAGAGAAAAAAAACAGATTTTACAATGTTTTAAAACTGTGTATTATAGCAAGTAAAGAAGGAAGTAAAGTGTGAGGATTTTTCTTTTTATGAGGAAGACATATGGCATTATATTTCTGCAGAAAAGATCTGAGTACTGTCTCAGACATCTGTCTCCTGCTCAGTACAGTATGTAGAGAATTGATATTTCTCCTGGACTTCTTGACTGCACTTTCTTAATGGTCTGTAAAATGAAACTAAGTGGAAAGAGTTAAGTACAGAGAAAAGATGGAGATTGAAAGAGATAACTTTCATATTATATTTCCATTAAAAAAGCCACATATGCACTTCTTAGTGTCAGCCATACTTATATAAATCATTCATTTATTCATTTTCATTTCGACTCAGTCCCTTTATTAATCGGGGGTCTCCACAGTGGAATGAACCGCCAATGTATCCAGCATATATTTTATGCAGCGGATGCCCTTCCAGCTGCAACCCATTTAGCTTACCTATTTCACATATGGTGCATGCTGAGGCTCGAACCAGTGACCATCTTGCTGTCAGGCAACAGTGCTACACACTGCACCATCCCGCCCGTTATGTAATGTAAATCATTACAGACCAATATAATTCATTTGGATTCACATAGAGTGTTTCTTTAATTCTCTATACATGTGTCTGTTGTATTATTAACTACTGATTTGCTTTACAATTAAAAGGTGTCTGGTTGTATAAACAGCATAAATCCATGTTATCCATTTTTCTGCTCGTTTTAGTATTTTTTAAGCATAAATAATTATATATTGTGATTTTTCATTTTATCATTGCAGTTTAATTAATCATAAACATCAAGTGAAAATTTTGTGCCACTAAAAATTGGATTGAACTACTTTTTTTTGCAGGAATAAAATTCATAAATGACCTTGAAATATGACGTGAAGCACGAGGCATTAATGAAGCCACTAGATGGTGCTAAAATCCCGATTCAGCTTTGTGGCAAAAGTCCTAATATTGTTGGTTTTATTTATTCATTCATTCATTCATTCATTCATTCATTCATTCATTCATTCATTCATTCATTCATTTATTCATTCATTCATTCATTCATTCATTTATTCATTCATTCATTCATTCATTCATCATCTATTTATCTATCTATCTATCTATCTATCTATCTATCTATCTATCTATCTATCTATCTATCTATCTATCTATCTATCTATCTATCTATCTATCTATCTATCTATCTATCTATCTATCTATCTATCTATCTATCTAT